GAGGTCATCCGATCGCTGGCCAACGTCTTCTTCGAACACTCGGACCTCTCCAAGGAGTCGTCCTCGAGCGCCGCCCTGTACAGCACCTCGACGGGGATCCTGGCGTCGGCGCACGGGGTCTCCCACACGGACCGCGCGCTGCTGGCGCTCATGTTCGAAGAGCGGTTCGAGGGCGAGCTGCCGCCGCGCGAGGTCGACTACAAAGAGTCACTCCGCCACCTGCTCACGCCCGAGCAGGTGTGGTGGGCGCGCTACATCGGCCGGGTCGCCATGGTCGTGGCCCGAGTGTACCCGGCCGGCATCATCGACGAGACGAACCCGCGCGTGGCCATGTCTGCGCGGTGGGCGGCCGGGCTGGGCGGGGACGCGAGCAAGGACGGCATCGAACTCACTCTCTGGGTGGCCAAGATCCCCGGCGACCCGTTCCTCCTCAAGGATACCATGCAGCACGCCTTGCGCGTCATCGAGAAGGTCGGCAAGCGCAAGCACTGGATCGGGGGCAAGGAAGGTTGGGGCATCAAGATCAAAGTGGTCGTGGAAGAGAAGGACCTGCGGCCAGAGCGACAGCAGAAGCTGCCGCAACCGACCCAATGCAGGCAGCAAGAGGCCGACAAGGGACAAGAGGACGACAGCGAGTGGCAAATGGAGTGAGCGAATCCAGATTACAATCAAGGTTCAGTTCCCGACAACAAAGCCATTCACAAATTTGAAGGAGTATGGGTATCTGTTGCCTGCTGCGGGATGCAAGCATGCAAATGTCAGGCGGACAAGAGCCTTGAGGAAAAGCCTAATAGTAATTTCATGTTCCCTCTCTTTTTGAATGTCCAAATGGTTAGGGGGACAGGACCTCACTGACTTTGTCTTGATGGATGTTCTTCTAGTTTGTTGCGAATATACTCCCTTTCAGAAGTCGTCACCTTCGTCATGGTGATCTCCGCTCGCTAGAGCATGACCTAGGTACTCTGTATTGCTCTCTAATCTTCATCGGCACTGTCGCCCTGCTTGGCCTTTTTCGCCCTCCACAGATAATATTCCCCGGCAGTCATGACAGGGTATTTGGCCGGGTTTTCTTCCGAGATGCACGACGGAATCGGCAACATGGGCATCCTCCTGTCCAGTCCGTAAAAGAACGGGATGGAGTATCTCTCCTTGCCGCTCTTGTTGATGACCCGATGGACCGTCGATACGAAATAGTCATTTGTCTGTCTCATGAAGCAGTCGGCAATATTGATCACAAACGAGTTTGGTACGGGCTTCGCTCTGATCCACCGCCCCGATTTGCCCAGAACCTCCAAGCCGCCTGACATGTCTTGGTTGACAATAGTGAAGCACTCAAAGTCTGTGTGGGCACCTATGCCGTTCTGCTCGTCCACCGTCGCCTCCTGTTCAGGGTAATGGAGAATGCGCAGGCCCGCTTCAGGTCGCTTGGTCCACTCGTCGAAATACGTTTCTGGGAGGTGGAGTGCCAGAGCGAAGATCCGAGTCATCTTACGGGCGAATCGCAGCATTGGCGTGTGATATGCGTACATGGCTTCCTTGAAACCTGGGAGATCACTTGGCCATATTGACGAACCTGGGTCGTTGTCTGGGTTTTCCGGATCCTGCTCAGCCGAGTAAGCTAGGTTGAAAGCTTCACTGAGATCTGAAGTACAAAATCGTCAGTAATGCGATCCGATATGAATACGATCTCGCGGCTCGGCTCCCGCTATGGATTTCCCTACCATGGTGTTTCCTTCCATTCCTGTTATAACTCGCAAGGGCATGGTATCCCACATATTCCTTCGGCACGAGGCTTGTGTCAACCTCCAGTTTCTTCTCCAGCGGTAAAGCAAAGAAGCGTTTGGCCTGTTCAAACACTCCATCCGCCAGTTTAGGGTCAAAGCCCTTCAGGGAACGGGATAGTCAGCCATGGACAAAGTCCCGTGGGAAAAACAAACTCACATGATTGACCACGTAGAAGAAGCCAATACGATGGGCAGCCTCGCGAATCTTGTCGGCCACAGCCTGTCGATCTGCTAGGTTGTCACTGTAGATTCCCGTTACGTCGATAATGGGGATCTCGTCCGCGTCGACGGCTTCATTTGATTCTACATGAAGAGTCTGACCATTCTGGAGCTTGATGACAAGAGGATTGAATTCCTCGGTCGCCGTTGTAACCTCTGACATGGTGATATTCGACGGGGCTGAGTTGCCAGACAATGATGAGCTTGATCTTTCAGAATGCGAATCGCTTATCAGGGGATCGTCCAGGCCAGGTTGAATATCAAATACGAACAGGAAGGGGCAGCTGTTCTGTCATCAGGAATCGGATACACTACGAGTAATATCGGAGTTGAGAGACGGAGGTACGCGCAGCCTCATTATTCATCGGCTTTGCCGTGCCGTTCTTTTCCCGAGGGCTCTGCCGAGCATGGATTGTGATATATGGCGAGTCCTTCCTGACTTTCCTTTCTGGGTATCATTCCCAAAATCGACATTTCCCGTTGCCCTAGTCAAACACTTGCCTCGAATGACATGGGGGTTCTGCCATTCGTTCGGGGGGTCCAGCTGATAACGACAAATGGCGGAACATACCAAGTGTCTCTATGATGGTGCATGGCCAGATCCTATTCTGGTGGACATTGCTTTGTCACACATCCTTTGCCTTAGATTGACGGTGATATCAAACTCTGATGTTGCTAGCCGTCTCTGATGTGGGCCCTCGACAAGGACTTCGGCGTCGCTTCTTGTCTCAAACAAGCATCTCTGGGTCTAGGCTTGTGCGCTTGTCTCGTTACACAGCATGTTGTCGACTTGCCGGAAAGTGACCGTCGACGACGTGGAGATGAGCGGTACCATGTCGGCCCAACCACGTGGCTCGTCTGAGTTCTTATCAGCGATAGGCAGATCCAGGAAACGGGTATGGGCGATATCAGACTCAGTCGGGGCGTGAACAGAGGCTGAACCATATGATAAACATGTTCGCCAGCGCAGTCTTGCAAAGGCTGCGACCGCCCTCGTCTCGCTCTGCTCATACCGACCGTCTAGTCTACCCAGCTCGCCACCCAGAACAATGAGTTCTCTTCGTCGCAGAGCCGCTCGACTGAGCGAAAAGCTCGAAGTCCCGGTCGACGAGCACTTGGACGGCAAGAGGGCTACGGCATGGAACAACCGCGATCTTGCCCCCCTCCCCCCACATAGGCGGACGTGGACAGTATGGGGTTTCTTGGGATTCTGGTCTGTCATCCAACTGAACACAGTAGGCTGGCAGACAGCAAGCTCATTGATCTCGCTGGGGTTGAGTGTGTGGGAGGCCATGATTGTGACGATCATTGCCAAAGTCAGTATTGTCCCATAGTCGAATTGACCTCCAGAAGCACGCAACTGACCCGCGTTGGGATCTAGTTTCTCATCGCTGGGGTGGCCATCACGAACGGCTGGTGGGGAGCTGTCTGGCACGTCGGTTTCTCGGTGGGAAACCGCGCTGTCTGGGGGCTCAGGGGCTCATATCTTGCTCTCGCACAAAGAATCATGCTCTGTTTGGTCTGGTATGGTGTGCAGGCCTGGATCGGTGGCCAGATGGCGGGCGTCATGCTCTACAGCATCTTCTCCGGCTACAGGCACATACCCAACACCTTCCCAGCCAGTGCCCATATGACAACGCAGCAGTTCGTAGGCTTCATCGTCTTCCTCTGCTTCCAGCTTCCTTGTCTCTTGATTCCTCCCGAGAAGACCGCGATCCTGTTCCGGTATGCGAACATCATCACTGCTGCCACGATGTTCTCGGTCACGGTGTGGGCACTGTCGGCAGCTCATGGAGGCGGGCCTTTGCTCATCGCTAACAGCACACTCACCACGACCAGCGAGAAAGCCTGGGCCATTATCCGCGGTATTACTACCGTCATTGGGGCTATCGCGGTGTCGTTGACCAACCAAAGTGACTTCAACCGGTTCGCAAAGACCCCGGGCGCTCAAATTCCTGGTCAGATTTACTCCACAATCATCGTCGGCGCGCTTGTCACTCTCATGGGTACCCTGTCGACCTCGGCGGCACAGAAGATCTATGGAGAGGTGCTCTGGTCGCCTGCGGAGCTCGCTATCCGCTGGATGGAGGACGGATACACCGCAAAGGCTCGGGCGGGAGCTTTCTTCGCTGGCCTTGGCTTTTTCATTTCCCAACTAAGCATCAACACAGTCGACAATGCCTGGCCGGGTGGTTTCGACCTTGCGGCACTCTTCCCTCGTTGGATAAACATACGCCGGGGGGCAGTCATCACGTTCGTGCTCGGTATCGCCATCAACCCTTGGCAACTGGCTGATACTGCCAATACATTCATCAATGTGCTGGATGGATATTCGGTCTTTCTCGGCCCCATGGTGGGCATGATGGTGTGTGATTTCTGGATCATTCGCGACCGCAAGCTCAAGCTCTCCGATCTATATATTCCAAACGAATCGTCCATCTACTGGTATAATCGGGGATTCAATTGGCGCGCCTACGCATCGTGGCTCGTCGGGATGGCGCCCGCGCTACCTGGATTCATCAATGCCGTCAATCCATCCATTCACGTGCCCAAGGGCGCACAGGAGATCTTCTATCTTGCATACATCGAGGGCTTTGCGTTGGCATTCGTTGTGCATTATGTCCTGAACCGACTCTTCCCAGTACCGGGTCTTGGGGAGATCGACTCGGAAGATCTGTTCGCCACTTTCACCGTAGAGGAGGCAAGGAAATTGGGCGTGATGCCACATCCCCGGTTGCTTGAGGGGGAAGCGCTAGAGGTTCAGGACGGCGAGCGTGCATCGTCAGAGGAGGTTGTAGAATCGAAGGCCGTAATGGTTGGAGAGAAGTTGGTCGGCTGAGCTCTAACAGCTGGAAACTGGTTGCTTGCTCTAGCTCTCTTGTTTAGCTGGCATCATTGCCTCTTAAAGTATCTGGATGATAGACAATGGGATTTCCCACGAGATGTCCGTTTCTCTTTTGCTTGTGCCGGGTAAGGTGGTGGCACTTCCATCAGATCTTAGAACATCTTCATGGCGTTGCAGTAGACTTCTTCTCCGAATGGCTGGATTACATCCGCATAGTTGAACCTCCTCAATATAAGGTATACTTCCTCCCACGCCGACAAACCCATGTCCCGGACTTGGTGAGCCAGCTCTATCTCAAACCAGCGATCATAAACATCTCCATGACTTCCTGGATCACAATACTTAACATTTCTGGAACATTTTGCGAAAGCAGGGGTCACCTCCTTCCCGTGACGGCTTTTGTGAAGAATCTTATTCGACGATGTTGCCGAGCTCCTCATTTCCTGCTTGGACTTGAGCAATTCGGCATGCGCGCCGATAAACAGTGCCCAGAGGCGAGCATTCCGATATTTTGATGGACCGTCAGGTGTTGAACCCCACCCAGAGTTTTCCGCATGTTGCAAAGCTGCCCGAAGGTTCTTCAGCTGTGTTGGCACCATATCGAAGAGGTTAATTCCGCAGACCTCGACTTTATAGCTTGAGTGATGTGTCCAGAGAAATTCTGCAAGGATCAGATATTGTTGGGTGTACCAATACTCCATCTGTTCGGCAGAGCCATCTTCGCTTTCGGCTTTCACTGGTGACAAAGATGTGCGATGTATCACCTCATGGATGGCGCGAATATAGTGTTTGATCATCCTCCCCTGCTGTAGGCATGCGGTTGTAGTGAGCCAAAGCATTATTAGAGGTGGCGTAGGGAGACCATTAAGCCCGTAGAGTAGCCAGGTTTGTAATGTGGTCCTCCGAGAGATGAAAAATGCTTTCAGCTCTTCCCCTTCGACGGACGGGTCAAGAAGTGTCGCCGCATCCTCCTGGGCCGCTGTCCACTGTGGAAGTTCTTGGAGCTGCTCGAGAGCCGCAGTCCAGAGAGGCTGCATCGTTTTCTCTATCCAGCCACCTGGGCTCACGTCGAATGCGAGAGGGGTCATGAAGATCGAAGAGATCTGGGTGTCACTCCATAGGGCATATTGAAGGAGTGTGAAGTTCACAGTATGTTTTCTCCGTTGCTGTTCTTGGAACATGTTTTGCAGTATCTTAGCATGTGCCATAGCGGCTGACAGGTTTTTGTCGACAATATCAGCTTTTTGAAGCATGATGATCTGGAGCACATTCACGTCAGTAAAGGTGTGGTTCGCATCGTTGAGCAACCGCAGCCGTAACTCTTGTATGCTGCGTAGGCGATAACGCATAGCCAGCGTCCGCATAGCAGGGTTCAGCACGGCAGCCACGGTTGCAGAACGAGCAATAAACGCATGTGCCAAAGCTGGCTCTTGAAGCGTGGAGACACAGATGGACCAGTCCAATCTCGCATTAGCAGAGCTGACCCATGCTGTTGCAGGAACGTGATACTGAGCTGGAAGAAGATAGTCACGGTAAAAGGCGATCAACTCGTTGACTTGGGGACTGATTTTGACTGGATAAGCGTGGAAAGGATCCGAATTCCCCCTGTGCAGCTGCATCGAGGAGCAGAGACGAGTGCCGCCAGAAGCGCCACCAGTGCGTCGAGTTGGGTCGGCCTTTTTTGGTGTCACAGACACTGTACGGTCTGGTCTGTCTGTGACATTGTGTCTCTTAACACTGGGAAGCGGCAGCTTCTCCTTGTAAGTGCGATGGACGACAATAAGGTCTCGAAGATACTTGACACTCTGCTTGCGGCGCCATACGTGATAGTTCTGGCGGACGTGGGAGAGGACTTGTGAGTCGTCGTTGGAGCCGCCCGAGCTGCTTGAATCGTAGTTGACGAACAGAAATTTGTCTGCCGCAGGCTGGGTGGGATGGTGGCGGCGATGCTGAGTCGACATGGCTTTACGCAGAGGCGATTTCTGCTGCAGGCTGAGTCAATCTTAGTAGGTTCCTGGCATTAGGTGAAATGGAATAGGCGTATGAGGTGTAGAAGGCGCAGTTGGCGAGGTGTCAGGTCAACAACCTTCACCATAGATTTCGTCACAGACTCACCATCTTTGATGAGACTGTCCGGTGGGAATACTGTAGCTGACAAGCGGCGAGGCATAGCGTGGGACTTTGAAGAGTGTCAGCCCTACGGCGACGAAATATATCAGAGACACTGCTGTGATGCTGGCGCCCAGACCGCTGACAAGCTCACTAAGCGGTAACAGCAGTTGGTCAAGGTCAATACACCAAGCGGGAAAGGCGTCGGCCAGAATCTCATAGTGGGAAGACCAATGTGTAATCAATCCACTACAGCACCGAACTGGATTGGTCTTTTGCAAAGTCCCTATCAAGTTGTATCCGCAAAGGGTGAGTGAAACCGTCAACCGCAGCAAAAAGCGCCCTCGCTTCATACATTGCCATGGCTTTAATTGTTGGTGTTAGCCAACTGACCCGGCCCGCCATTTGTCCTTCCGTTCCCATGTGCAAGGCATTTCATTCGTGATCACGACGGCCATGGCCCGCGCTTCTTCGTGTCAGCATGCATACCATCCCGTTCCATTGTTCAGATTGCTTTCCTCCCATTCGCATCCATGATGTTCCTAGTCCGGATCTTTCCCAACTCCCTTGCGAGACATAGTGATGGCGAATAATTCAAGACATGGTGGAAACATATGTACCTCGTCTTTCACAGCATGTGAGACGAGAAGAAAACAAGGGCATCCAGATCTAGTTTTGCACAGCGGCTTGTCCAGTTGGAGCTTGCGTCTGCCCCTGCCCCTGTCCTTGCCCACCTCGTCCCCGATTGCCGCGATGATTGTATCCGCCACCATATCCACGGTTGTTATAACCGCCTCGATATGATCCCCCGTACTGCCTTCCACGGCCATACCCGCCACCTCTTCCGCGCCCGCGGTAACCTCCGTCCACATTACCCTGGCCAAAAGTTTCGATATTCTTCTTGAATTCTTCGCTGCGCACCTGTCTGCCATGTGCGCGGCCGTCGTGACCTTCTTCTCGGTCCTTGGCTTCCGAGGAAATATTGTCAAAGAAAGAGGTTGACTTGTTGTAGGCGGGGACGGTGTTGGTTAGGCTGTCTTTTCTGGTTGGAGTTGGTTTACGTGCTTCGCCGTTCTCCTCTTCCTGAGCTGGCGTCTCTTCAAGAGGTGATCCCGAAGCAATCGCCTCTTTAATGAGGTCCTCCTTGTTGAACTTCGCATTGGCGGATTCAAAGTCAAAATCAGACTTTGGAATTTCCATCTTCTTCTGACCACCTCCGCGATGGTAATTGCCGCCTCGTCCGCCTCTGAACCCTGCCCTGCCCCCACGGGCTGTTCCGTTATTCGTAGCTGATGTGGACATCTCGGCTACCTTTTTGGTCAAAGCATCTACTGCCGCCGTTGGAAGAGTTTGTTTGGGCTGTACCGAAGCAGCCTGGGGGTTCAATTTTGCCATAGCCGCTGCGACCGCTTCCTTTGCTTGTCGCGCCGCCTCATCCATGGCAGCTTGGGAGGGGGCGGGTTTCTGAGGTTTAGCACCGGTACCATTTGTTGCAGAAGTATCCGCCGTGGCAGCGACTGGAGGTGTGAAGGATTTCTGATTCACAGTGAAAGGGACTGCGGGAGCCACACGGTTGTTCTTCGGCCCTGTAGGGGCTGCCTTTGGAGGCGCCACCCCTGCTGCCTGGGGTGCAGGAGCAGGTATGGGTGCAGCCTTGGCAGCGACCTGAGCATGAGACAATTGTGACGACAGCGATGTAGAGGGTTGTGTTTCTTTTGGAAGAGGGGAAGCACCTGCCTCTGGCGCCTTGTTACTACCAGGCAGTTCAGATGTCAGATTTGGAGGAGGCTGTGCTGCGGACATGGCGGAGTCAGGAGGAGGTTGTGACTGCATGTGAGGTGGTGGTACATCGCCGCGCAAGCCGGGAGGTCCAATGGGAGGTTGAGGATGTTGTGGAAATGGGTGAGGACCAGGACCTTGTGGGAAGCCCTGGCCGCCAGGGGGTCCAAAATATCCAGGAGGCGGGGGTCCATAGGGAGGAAATCCGGGACCAGGGCCAAAGGCTCCTGGAGGCGGGCCATAACCTCTACCGAATTGATTGGGAGGGTAGTAACCACCAAAAGGAGGAGGAGGGTGTGGATAATCTTGGGGAGAAAAAGGGCCATCACGAGGCATTCCTGGAGGAGGACCTGGTCGCGAGGCATTCTGAGTTTTGACTTCAGTCAGCGCTACTCGAGAAGTGGTGGATTGAGATCGAGAATGAACAAGGGAAGTCAAGATCAGAAGGAAGGCAACGGAAACATCCACATGGCTTTGCGCTTTCAGAACAGGTCTGTGAATTTACATCCGATGTCTCATCATAAGGACAGGTGTCAGGCAACGAAGGGGCACGCGACATACCAAGATGGCAGGGTCATTGGGCATGCTCTGCGGAGGTGATGGTTGTGAGGGTTCATCTTCAGCAATCTTGATATCCTTGACATCGCTTCCACGAAAGACAATGAAACCATATTTCTGTTGTGAAGGAGGGATGAATTTGTCGACTTTGCGATCTTCGGTACCAAAGGAGAAGACATTTTCCAAAGCGATTGTGGACTGCTCAGGATTTATCTCGTGGAGAGTACCAACATAGCTGTGACAGGCAAAATTGTTAGGACGAGTTCAGAGATACAAAGGAGGATCACGTACCGAATTTCACTTTTCGAGATGAGGTTGAAACGCTGACCGATGAGATGATCCATATCCATGATGACGGAAAGAGAGCGCAATAAAGCAGACACTAATGTTACATAAAGAGGAAGGAAATCCGAGAGTATGAGGGAGAGGGAGAGGTGGTGGAGGGTGAGGAGCTGAGGAGTGGTTTGTTTGATGGAAGAAGCAAAAAGGACGAATTTGACTTGAGAAAGCTGCGCAAGGTAAAAGGTCAAGGCCAGAGTGACAAACTAACAAAACATGGTGCATTTGAGAGGCTGTATGCTCCAGCCTACTCTTGGCGTCTTGGCAAGATAGGGTGGATCGTTAATCTGCGCTATGCAGTCTCAAAATGTTTCGGTCCTTTCGTCACAAGGGGGGTAGTCCTGACGTTTCTTGCCTTCTTCTGCTATCTACCGCCATGACCAGCTACAATACAAGTGACCAGGCAGGCAACTACTTCCAGACCGAGTGCGTGTCTGCACCAAGTGCGGTGTTTGTTCAGAGCCTTACTGATCATTTCCCAGTGCATCCTTGGCTGAAAATGATCGGAAACGCCAAAAAGCAGCCAATACACTGGGGGATCCGGTCAAATTCCCCTCAAAATTGCTAGCCGTGGGTGTAAATCACTACTTTGATGCTACGGGAGATGTGGCTTTTGTTGCCGAAGCTGGGGGAACGGTCACAGGCCTACGACTATCCACAAACGAGATGTCTACGACTCCCAGAGGCCCCCAGGCACCCCTAACAAGCCTGGCCTTCCACACCACGCGACCCAGCACGGGACATCCTATTAACACACACGTCTTCGCTGGCTGCTGGGACAAATCCATATGGACTTATTCATTCCAAGGCCCCACAATCATCAATCAATCCTCATTTCCTGCTCACCAAGACTTTGTAAAATGTCTTCTCGTTGTACGAACTCCAGACAATCAGGATATTTTGATTTCAGGAGGAGCTGATGGCGATGTGCGCTTTTGGAGTCTCGACGGAAGACCACTTGGTTCCCTCAAACCCAATGCGCGAGGCATCGAATGTCTTGCCCCCGATCCGCTATCCTCATCCGATTCGCCTATCGTGATGCTCTCAACATCCAAGCAAGAAATCTTCTCCTTTGCTGTCCCAGCACTATCGACAAACACTACGCAGAAGCTTGACCTGTCTTTGCCCATCCTGGCTCATGCCACAAGTGTGTACAAGCTACACTTTGATGAAGACGGAGATCTATGGACAGCCTCGGCTGACAAAACAGCCAAACACCTCCTGCGGGAAGAGGGTTGGAGGGCTGATACAACACTGACACACCCTGACTTTGTGCGAGATGTGATTACCCACGATAGATATGGCTGGGTCATAACGGCCTGCAGAGACGAGAATGTACGTGTATGGAACAAAGCGACAGGTGACTTGCACCATGTTTTCACCGGCCACTACGAAGAAGTAACAGGACTGTCTCTGGCTGGTGATTTGGTCATTAGTGTTAGCATCGACGCGACACTTCGAAGATGGAGCCTGGCTCCTGCGGATCTAAACAAGGCGGTTGAGGAGGCCAAGAACCCACGGCTTCTCGAACAGGAACCTGAACCCAACACTGAACTAGGGATGCTGACAGAGGAAGAGGAGGCAGAACTCCGGGCGTTGATGGAGGAAGAAGAGCAAGAGGTGTTGGAGAAGATGGCCACGGACGAGCAATAAGGCGAGAGGGACAGCCTTGCTTGCGTGCTTTCCTACAAGGACTCAGCCTTGCCTTCTTATCAGGCTGCGTGGCTGTGCGCAGATCCACGTGCCCGACCCCAGATTAGCTAAGCAGGCCTGATAGACTGATATGCCCAAATGCTGGCTTGTGATTGGCTGCCCTGCCACCTCCCACCTTGTCTTTTTGCCTTTTTCCTCCTCCCGGTGATTGATCTGATTGCGCTTTAAACCTCCCCATCTGAAAATTTCTTCTGTTGTCATCTCCTCCATCTCATCTCTGCTTCTCCATACTCGCCACTTGGAGAAAAGTCTCCTGCTCTGCATTTGAACCTCGTTCCTCGCGCACGAACTATCTCGGGTGGCCCTGTTCCTGCCGGCGATTTCCGACCCCAACCGCAAACTTTTTGCAAAGCCTTGTCCAACTTGACCCACGTGCCCATCCAACATCTGACTTTTCTTTTTCCATATTTTGCCCCTGCCTGAGAATCGGGAAAATATCAGTTGCGTGTCTCGCGCAGACCAAGTCAGCCTCACCCGCATCCCGCCTTCTTACCAAAACATCATCAACACCCTCTAATCACCCGGCCAATCGGCCCACAACCATCCTCCATGGTCGACGGCGAGCCTGAACCCAGGCTGCACAATGCCCTGGCGAGTAGTGCATCAGTCTACGTGAGCCAGGCGAGCCCTGTCAGAATCTGCCGATGCTGACTTGAAACAGCTCCGTGCACATAAAGACAATCCCGTAGCCTGGCAAGAATGGACGCCGAAAACTCTGTCTCTCGCAAAGCGCTACCAGAAACTTATATTTTTGAGTATCGGCTACAATGCATGCCACTGTAAGATACCCAAGCTAGCTTTATGTGCTCGATTTGACTTGTGGAATTAAGGGTGCCATGTCATGGAACGAGAGTCATTTAGCTCTCCCGACGTAGCCGAGATTCTTAACGATTCCTTCATTCCCATCAAGTTGGATCGGGAGTCGCGGCCTGATCTGGATGATATCTATATGAACTATGTCACGGCAACAACGGGCTCCGGTGGCTGGCCTTTGAATGTCTTCCTAACTCCAGACCTCAAACCTGTCTTTGGTGGTACGTACTGGCCAGGGCCCTCCCCGACAACAAATCTGAAACCAGCAACTCCTCATGACGAGGCGCCTGTGACGTTCATTGGGATTCTCAAAAAGATGAAAGATGTCTGGGCATCACAGCGCGAACGGTGTCTCCAATCGTCGTCGGAAATTACGGACCAGTTACTGGCGTTTGCCGGTGAGGGTATTCATTCCCAATCCGACAGTCAAACTCGAGAAGCTGAACCCAGTTCATCGGATCCGCCCGAGCCACTGGATCTGGACCTGCTGGATGACGCCTTGAGCCATTTCAGTTCCCGTTACGACTCGACGTATGGAGGGTTTAGCCCCAGCCCTACGGCGCCGAAGTTCCCAACTCCCTCCAACCTCACTTTTCTTCTTCGAATAGGAGCAGCCATCGCACTGCCTTCCACTCATACACGTTTTGGCTTCTTCAGCCCTGTCCCGGGAATTCTGGGCAGGGAGTCATGCCTCACCGCTGCAAGGATGTCGCTACACACTCTTCTGGCCATGTCAAGATCAGGTCTAAGAGATCAGCTGGGGTATGGATTCCATCGGTACAGTGTCACCGCTGACTGGAATCTCCCGCATTTTGAGAAGATGATGTGCGACAACGCACAGCTTCTAGGGTGCTACTGCGATGCCTGGGCACTAGGTCGGGATCCCGAAATTTTGGGCACGATCTACAACCTCGTCGAATACTTTACGAACCCCGAGTCCCCAATCGTCCATCCAGAGGGTGGCTGGTACTCGAGCGAAGACGCAGACTCACGGACCACTCTATCCAGCATGAGCAATGGAGCAATGTCGGACGACAAGAAGGAAGGTGCCTTCTATGTATGGACGTTCAAAGAGTTCCAGGCGATTCTAGGTGAGGGTGACGCGGCCATCTTGGCTCGGCACTTTGGCGTCAAACCGGACGGCAATGTACCCGCGCAGCATGACATGCACGACGAATTCCTGACTCAGAACGTGCTGCACATCCAAGCCACACCGTCCATATTGGCCAAGGAATTTGGCATCTCAGAGGAGGAAGTCGTGCGGATTGTCAAATCCGGCCGTGCAAAACTACGCGAGCACCGCAAGACGAAACGCGAAAAGCCAGAGGTGGACACAAAAATCATCGCCTCGTGGAATGGACTTGCCATTGCAGCCCTCGCCCGCGCAGCAAACACTCTAGCGACAATCGACAAGCACCGCGCTGCCCGATGCCAGGATGCCGCGGAGAGAGCAGCAGCATTCATCCGGAACAGCATGTATGATGACACAACAGGGCAGCTGGCGCGAGTAGCTGGGCTGCCAGCGTCGCAGCGCAGTCAAGATGCCGATACGACCAACATTGCTTTTGTTGACGACTACGCATATCTTACCCTCGCAAATCTCGCCTTGTACGACTTGACCCTGTCTCAACCATACCTCGATTGGGCCGTTCGGCTGCAGTCCTGCTTGGACGAGCGATTCAACGCCAGCACCACCGGTGGATACTTCCAGTGCCCCAGGCCCAACGATTCCTCGCCGCCCGAACAAATCATCCGCCTCAAGCCTGGGACGGACAACGCCCTCCCGTCTCCCAACGGCGTCATCTGCACCAACCTGCTCTACCTCTCTTCCTACATTCAATCCCAAAACCCGTCGCAATCCCATTCCGAAGCGGCCGCGTACCTGTCCCGGGCGCGTGCGATCTTGGACGCCTTCGCCGTCGAAATCATCCAGCACCCATTTCTGTACGTCACGCTCTTGGGAGCCACCGTCATGGAACAAGTCGGGGTGAAGACGATCATTGCGCCCATGACGGCCAAAGAGAGTGAGCTGAGGAGGCTGAAGGGCTGGGGAAGGACGGTGGTACGGGGGATCGTGTCAGAGGTGATGATCTGTACCAAGGACGGAGTGTGTCGGCCGCTGAGGAGAGAAGATCTCGAGGACGTTGACGACCTGGACGCCGAGGCTGAAGAGGAAAAGAGCCGTGCTCTGGGGAAGGTGGATAGTGTATCTTCGGTTAGCGCGTTGAGACAAGCTGCTGTTCCGGCTTCGGCGTGAAGGGTGCCACCAGTGTTGTCTTTTGGAGGGAATTCAAGAGGGTTCTTGTTCTCGGTTTGGCGTCGAGGGTATTTACGGCTTATTTTTTTTTCCCTCGTAGCTGAAGACGGACACTTCTGTTGTATACAACTAGATACGGAGTGTCTGTAGATCAGGGAGAGGTGTGTTGAAGAGGGGCTTTCTCGCTGTACTCAACCTCGTTCTCATCCTCATCCTCGTCCTCATCCTCGTCCTCAGCTTACGCATCCACGGCTGACAAATTGATCGATTTGCTGGGGTTTCCTACATGGGGTTTTTTGCCTCTTTCCTCTGTACCTCACGATATTACATTATATCACATTGGACTGCATATACTTGTATTCATGCTTGTACCTATACTTGCTGTACCTGAGCATGTGGCACTCGATGGGAGCCTTGTAAACCCCACATTCATGTCTTAAGTACCCTGAAATGACAATGAGGAGGAGGGAGAGGATCTCCAATCCTCTTAGGGAACCACATCCGATCTCGAGTTGGAGAAGCATCCGTTCAGGCCATCTCAAGTGCGGTTTTTAATCTGACGGGCTGTTCAATATAAATACGTGTCTTTGCGTATTTGTGTGTGTGTGTCTGTGCGGTTGTATATATAGGACCATTTACATCCCTTTCCTTGCTTCCTTCCCACTCTTCCTTGGTCCTCGACATCGACCTCGACACCTACATCCACACTAAAGCGTCCATTTCCCGCACCGTCACCATGTCCCATCTGCACACAATCCTCATCACCGGCGCGTCAGGCTACCTCGGCGGCAGTCTCCTCGCGCAATGGTCCCGCGCCGCTCTCCCGCCGTACAAACGTTTGTTGGCACTCGTCCGGACCGAGGAGCAAGCGTCGGCCGTGAAGCGAGAATACGGCGCAGAGGCGGAGCCCATCATCTTCGACACAAAGGACGAAAAGGCCGTGCGCGACGCCGTGCTCGACAATCAGATCAGCATCGTGTTTTTCCTGGTCGATGCCATGACGGCCCAGGCGCAGGGGTATTTTATCACTGCGCTGGCCGAGGTGAAGGGTAGGACGGGGGTCGACGTCCATTTTCTGCATGTATGGTATCTTTCACTCTCCGGTCCCATTTCCGGAGGGGATCAGGGATATGAATTCTGTGCGAGATACTAACCCTTGATCACAATGACAACCAGACCAGCGGCGCAAAGATCTTCTCCAGCCACGCCGGCGCCCCGACCGACCGCCCACTACTCGACACAGACCCAGACCTATACGAGATCCAGAAGGCGCAGAAAGCCCCGATCCCTCTGATACAGTCGGTCAGTAAACCCCTTCTCCCTAGGTTTTCAGCATTATTTGGATTTGTTCATGTCAGTAACTGATACGTAAATCAATCATGTGTTCAGGCCGTCAACACGAATAACACAGTCATCGAACAGGCCGAGTCGCTCGGCGTGCACAGCTACATCTTTGTGCCGTGCATCGTGTGTAAGTTACGGAGCCATGGCCCAGAAGGGGGCACCTTGTGCTATCCCCTGAATTTACCCAAGTTGTTCCGTGCTGTCTGTTAACTAACACCGCCGGATCTTTGAACCCTTAAGACGGTCGAGGCGAAGGGTTCGGGAACCGCATCTCGATCCAGACCGTCGCCATTGTCAAGGCCGCTCGGGCCTTGAGGCGCGTGTACAGCGTCGACGACGGGAGTCCTGTAAGTAACAATGACCCCAAAATCCTGTCCCCAAGTGAGAAGATCCTCCAAAGCACTCCATCCCTCTTCCCTATATCCCTCCCTCCCACATCGCCCCTGCCGGACACTCGATACTATACGCTGGACATTGGGCTCTAGACCTTGGGCACCGGACCCCGAGAACTAGACACTGACTGACTCAAATCCAGGCCTGGCCTGTATGCCACGTCCACGACAACACGACACTATACCTCGCCCTCCTCCGCGGGATCCTCGCCGGCGGCACAAATCGTCCCGGAAGTGGAAAGAACGGATACTACCTCGCCTCGTCGGGCCATGTGATGTGGGAGAGCCTGTACGCAGCCATGGCGGCGCGGCTGGCCCAGCGTGGCGTGGTCGATACCGACGGAGGGGGAAAGGTCGAGCACGCGACGCCGCAGACACTCGAGGCCATGGGCAAGGCGTTGGGGTGTCCGGCTGAGTTTGTGGCATTACAGCTTGGTGGACGGTATGGGTTTTTTTTTTCTCTCTCCTCTTTCCTATCATCAACATTATCATTATTGTCATTGCCTGTGGTGTGATATGGCTTTGTTTGATTTTTGTTTTGTTTGGTTCTTCTCATCCTCCTCCCTTGTCCTACCCGGTCTGTCTGCCTTTTCACGATCCTCCTGGCCCCGATTCTCCATCCTCATATTTCCACCATCACCTTCACCTCAAGAGATAACCCATTGACTCCTCGCCCACGCCCACAGATGCACCTTCACCCCCCGCCACGGCGAGGAAGCACTCGGCTGGAAACCGCGGTATCCCGCACAACATATCCTCGACACGGCGGGCGACGAGGTGGATCTGATCCTCGAGAATTTGGGGGGATGAGAAGAAAATGAACAGTGTGCGTGAAATGGAAATGAGGAGACGAGAGGGAATGAACAATGCAATGAGTTAGATTGGATGAAAGGAACGGAAGGGATTAAACGGATAGAATGAATGGAATATACCGAGTAGTAGAAGACGAAGCGACTTTATTTTTCCCTGTGCGTCTTACTTCTCATGAGGAAATCTGATGCTCGAGTAGATAGATACCTTGACGCGGTTGGTCTGTTATTGATATGATATGAGAAAAGGAATTTAACTGGCCCTGTGAGAACGGAGCTCGGTACGCTTGTAATACTACAGAGACTCTGTACTTGTATGGTACTGGGTCACGGAGATAACTTATACAACTCTCACTTTAATCCTGTCATTGCCACTCCCTATGTCTGTTCAAATTACATTGTACCATTCACACCTCCTTCTCGGCAGCCTCGTACCTGGTGACCCAACTTTACTCAGAACCGGCTGCGGGATTGGGCGGCATTCTGAGGATGATCATGAACCGCTTTTTCTTCGCTGGAGGAGGAGCAGCCGCACCGTCTTCACCGCTGTCAACTTCTTTCGCCTCATCAACCTCATCCCTCTTTCTCTTGGCTGCAGATCGCGTTTCTCGCATCGGAGATCCCGCAACGGGTGGAGGCTTCGCTGCTCGACGACTTCTTGGTGTACTTGTAGTAGCTGCCCGCTTCGCCGGCGCACTCGAGCTACTCGCACCTGCCCGACCTTTGCCCTTTTTGCCTTTGGGCCCGGGTTTGGGCTTCGGCTTCACACCAGGCTTCGCAGCTTCTTGCTGCTCCTTTTGCGCCGCGGCAATCACATCGTCCCACTTTCTTTTGGCTGGGGGAGCTGCATTCGGGTCCGGTTTGTACTTCTTCATGTCATGTTTCAAGCCGTCGGGACTTGTCCAGTAGTGCAAATCGGGGTCGAGCTCTGCCTGGCTATTGTTCGTATACGTTTCAGCCCTGGGCGGAGAAGAAGGTGGATTGCGAGGCTCATGGTGTATGATGCGACGCTCTTGACCCGACGCAGTGCGATACAGGGTGTAATCAGCTGGATCGGCAATGTAGTTCAGGTCTCGCGTCACGCGTTCTCCAGTGCTATCGCTCTCTATTGGGCCAGGCTCTTCATTGGCTTGCACGATTTCTAGCAGAAGCTGCAGGCGTCTTTGGATCAAGCGGTCTCGGTTCTCTGCAGGAACTCCTTCGCCTTCTGATCGCAGTAAACTCTCATCTTGAGCATCTGCTGGACCCAGCCGGGAATTAGCGTCCTCGCCGTGCTCATTGGAAGATGGACCGTCATTCTCATTTTCAGAAGGTCTGGGTTGCTGCTCACTTACCAGATGCGTTTCTGTGGACTGGTTCTCTATGTTCTCGGTTCTGTCTCGGATTTCATCCACTGGAGTAGTAGAGAGAGCTGGGGGTTGCTGATACAGAGATCCGCGGTCAAATATTTCTGTTTCTCGGTTAGTTTCTCCTCCTTGAAGATTTGATGTTGATGGCAGAGGAGCTAGTACCTCGTGACGAAGGCTCAGAAGGATCTCTGCAGCCTCTAGTATTCTGGGACTGTGGCCAGAAATCTCATTTTCAGGGTTGCTCTCTGCGACTTCTTCAACAACTTCTCGCCTATGTGACTCGGCAACTTGCTGTTCTCGCTCTAGCCGGTCAGTCGCTCTTTGAACTCTAGCTTGTTCATGGAACTCCTTGAGTCTTTTTGTTGCTTCGTCGGCGAGATAATCGAGGGGGGTAGGACCAGAGTTATCCTGCGTCGCAGGTGCCTGGTCTCCAGCAGCAGGATTCATTTTTGTTTCAAGTTGACACTTTGGATTGGAAGTACGTAAAGGGATGGGTGGATTCGGGAGTCGAGGTCTGGAGAAGCGGGTAAGGAGAGCCGTGTGTTCTGAGAACTTGGTTTTGAACTTTGGGACGGAGATATACTGAAAATACTCTTGTTTCGAAATATCCTCAATCGAGATATGTCGAGTTTTCCGGTATGGAGTGAGATTCTGCAACGGTGTGTCAATGCTGGGTTAATGTAGTCCGACATATCTCGACATCTGCATTGAAACCCATTGACAGTGTCTATCTCTTGTTTGACACAATGCAACATTGTTTCTATACAATGAACGGCAGCCCTAAAATAACTTTCCTTTCCTCAAATTAGAACAGAGGTCTTTGTAGAGAGGTTTGTTAGGCTTTGTCTTCGAGGTTGGAAGCGCTATTTGAAAGGCCATTTGTGCGAATCAAGCTTGCCTCGGTGTAAGCGGTGCATACATCCGTTGTTCCTCTTGCATTGATAGATACTGGTAGAGCGCGCAGGGCCTTGTGTGAGTGCGAAATCCAGGCCGCATGCTTTTGCTGTCCAATAGTCTTTCAACCAAGAACAAGTCTTTGTGGAGCGCTCCATTGAGCCAGTACGGAAATCATGAAAACACGGGGCTCGTGCCATGCTGTTGCTTTGCGTGTCTGCTGCTGCACATGTTTTCTGTAGCACTGAGTTGCTCAAGGATTCGGAAAAGGATGAGCTTGAGCAGGTAGAGCTAGGCCCCCTATTCGGAACCAGTTGAGCCCCCAGGTCATGGCCAACTCCTCCAGACACGTCTCGAGGTTTTGTTGAACGTCGATCAGGCGGTCAGCCGGGTCTATAACCACCGGCCTCATGTCTGGCCGGTAGACCTTGACGGAATAAAATTCGAGTAAGCTTCGTACCCAGTCAGCTGTTTCCACGCATCAGGGAACAAGCTCTAGTCACGACATGAGATAGATTACTTACGATGGAATTGAAGTTCCTTGAACTCGAGCACAGTCCGCGGAAAATGACGATGAGCCGCCCAAAGCTCATCATCTCGGACATGCATTGTCGGGTCTTTGTCATCCTTTGTTGGCTTTGCACCTTTTCTTTCCAGGAGACGTTTCCTTTGTGCTTCGACGGCGGCTCTGGCTTCTGGCGTAGGTGCAGAAATGGGGGAGACTGCGTGGTAAGGTCTCCATAACAAACCATTCTTTATCCGTGCGTCTTGGTTCTTGAGTCTGTCTTCAAGTATGGCGAGGCGAACACCAAGACCTAGTGTAGATCGGTTGCCTTCACGCTGAATAAGTTCGTTTTGGATGACTTGGAAGATATTGAGGCCTAGCTCGGCAGTCTCCATATTGTACAAACGGCTGTGAAAATGTAGCGTGGCAACAGACTATTTACAAGAGGAAGAGCAAACCGTTAGAGATTTGCTGGTTAGGGACAACAAGGAGAATTTAACGGTCAAAACGGTGGGAAGAAGAAGAGCAAGAGGCCGGGCAGCGTGGAAGCTTCGGATCCATTGATGGTTGTCGCATTACAACATTGGCACACGTCATGGCCGGCGCTCAGCCTTGGGCTTTACGATTCTCCTTATCATTGATGTCTGTCTCAACGGAAGGGAAGATGGATGAGAATAACACTCTAGGTCCAGTGAATTCAGTCATCAATGTCAATCCTGGATCTGGTGCAGACTTTTACTTTGTTGTCGGATGTTGGATTCAAGCTGCTGCCCCCAAGGCCGCTAGCATATGCATCGCCCAAGTGGTTCAAGGCATACGTCTTCTGCTACACCTTTGTCCTCAATTCCTCCGGAGTATCTTCCTGGTTATCCCACCTGCCACTCTTGAACGCATCCAACTGCTTGACCTCCTCCCAGATCCTCCAGATGTGCGGGAATTGGCCTTGCACATCCACGCCAAACCTGAGGGCTCCGTCTATGGCGGGAGCAAGGGCACAGTCGGCCATGGTCACTGTATCACCGACACTATACTTGCCACCATAGGCACTGACCAGTCCCTCGTATGCGCGAAATCCCAAGGCCATGAAATGCTGTTGCCATTCCTTGGCCTCGATATTGTGGGGTTTGACGAAATTCAACACTCGCAAATTTGTAACAGGTTGAATATCGCAAGCAACGACGTTCACCAGCTCTCTCACCCTGGCTCTTCCCACAACATCATCCGGGCCGGGTAGCAGCTTCACCCCATTCGCATGTTCAACTTCCTCGAGGAATTCCAGGATGGCAACCGACTGTCTGATTCTGGTGACTTCGTTGCCCGTTTCTAGGTCGCCCACGACCAAAGTAGGCACAGACTCACTTGGGTTCAATGCTGTGTAGTTCTTGTCATGCTGCTCGCCTTTGACCAAGTGGATATATTTGTAATCAAGTGGAACGTTCTTCAGATTGGCCGCAATGCGAACCCGGGCCGAGCAGGAGCTGCGGAAGTAACTGTACAAGGTGTACTTGTACCTCGATTTCTCGACCATCTTGGCCTCAACAATTGCGCTTTGTGCTTGAGTTTCGTCAAGGGACGAATTGGCGGGGACACAATTGCTCCCTCTTCTTCCCTGTTTGCCCTGGTCCTGATCAGGAGCTAGCCTGTCAGGCTGATGCGGCCACTAGTGAATCTAGGGTTGGGATCTGCTTTAGCGAGACGCAAGATGGAGGAGGTGAGATGGAAGGATGAGATGGGTTGTCTCTTCCGGCCCCCTGTCTCTGAAGTTGTAACGGTGGTAGTTCGGCCACCGCAATGCCCAAGCCTTGTCAGGGCTGCTAAACGTTTTGCCGACCAGTGAAGATGGAGGGATCACGGACCAAGCAGGCGGCCAACGCAGTCAACGAGAACTGATGCCCCTTTTAAAGAAGTCCGACACAATGCCAACATCAAGTTGCTGAGATTCCTCGTGCTGCAGCTGACCATTCCGAGCTGTTTATAAAACAAGTGCGGAACCCCCGCAAATCAGCAGCGGAGCTCATTCCGAAGACGCATGAGAGCCGCCCCACTGGAGGTTCAGAGAGATCATCACGAATGACCGAGCGAGGACCGGGGCGAGGGAGTAGAGGCCACATCCTCAGACTAGTGAGGTAGGGGTCAGATTGCGGCTGGTAGATGACCACGAGTGTCACGGCTCGAATGGCTCGGGCGTGTTTGATGCTTGATGTTTTTGCGGGGGAGGGGTCAATAAAACCTTGCGGTATGCATTTCGACACCTAGTTCACCCCCCTCTTTGGGACGAGGATGATGCCGCTCTATACTCAAACAAACCCCCTTTTGGCACTATTGACCTTCCCATCATGGTTGACGTGAATTTTGTTGATGAACCTTCTTCTGGGCTCTCAACTCACAAGCCGTTTATAGGTTGAGGGGACGACACAAACAAGGAAGAGTTGAGGTACATTGATCATGATGCTAGGTGGTGGTTTAAAGCGGCGTGGTACAGGTACCCTCCATGTCGCTATGACGACGTGAAATGATGCGGGCGGGCGCGGGGTGAAAGCATCGGCTGCGTTCAGATCTTCAACCTCCCGCATCTCCATCCATCCTGGCTGCAGGAAGTTGACGACCCTTGTGCGATAGCGTCCCTACCTCTCAATCTCGTATTCTGCCAACATGGCAACCCGCGCCATTCGCATTGGCTTCGTGCCCGAACACTACCTCCTCCCGCTTCACTTCAGCAACAAGAACAACCTTTTCCCCTCCTCGCTCCAGGTCCATCTCGTCCCGTTCCCTTCGGGGACCGGCCACATGATAACTTCCCTGCGCTCCAAGGAGATCGACCTCGCAATTGGTCTAACTGAAGGCTGGGTCGCTGGGCTTCTGAACCCCTCTGTCCAGAGCCAATCATTACAAGAGAAGGGATATTCCATTGTCGGGTCATGGGTGTCTACTCCACTTCGATGGGCCATTGTCACCGGGCGGAACCGAGACGATATTTCGTCTGTGGATGATCTGAGACAACATCGACGAGTAGGCGTGAGTAGGATTGGCAGTGGGAGTCACATCATGGCTTTCGTTCTCGCCCAGCAGGAAGGGTGGCTTCAGCACACCAAGGATCAAAAATCAGAGGGGCTAACCCTCGTGCCACTGGGACCGTTCAAGGATCTTCGCGACGGCGTGACAGGCAACACGGCCGACTTCTTTATGTGGGAACATTTCACTACGAAACCCTATTTCCACGGGGATGACACGCCTTTGAAGAAGATTGGGGAGATCTACACGCCCTGGCCCAGCTGGCATATTGCTGCGTCGACTGACGCATTCCCCGACCCACGTTCAGACGAGACCCTGAAGCAGATCTTCGAGGCTCTGGACAAGGGAATCAAGATGTTCAATGAGGATCCGGATGCGGGAATCAAAATGCTTGGGACAGGTGAGGCGGGTTGCCACTATTCCGAGGAAGATGGGCGGGAGTGGTTGAAAGACGTGAAATTTGTGCAGGGGACGAGAGGGGTAGATGCAGGGGTCATGGGAGGTGTGGTAGATGTTCTCAAGACGGCTAATGTCATTGACTCTACGGTAGATATCCGAGAAGGTGACGGAGTCATTGGAATTGCAAGGTAAGGGCAGCAAAGAGGCAAAACTTGTGAGCAAGGTCGATGCTAGACCTTGAAGTCGTAGAGCATGTACAAGTACCAAAAGAATTTATACATAAACCAGAGAACCACGGTCTACGGTATGTGTCGAACTACGAGCGTATCTTAGTTTGCCTATCGCTGAGTGTCAGCGGCTCCACGAGAGAGATCCGTCCACGCCGTCATGATTAGGACCAAGGCTGGCTGGTGCTCCTACTAGTGCCTCTTCCTGCCCTTGCTCCTGCGTTCCGTGAAGGCTAGCAGTAGGATAAAGATGGGAGTCATCGAGACCGTCTTGACCTGTGTGCGTGTCCGACTTCAGCCGATTGATGCGGCCTACTTGGATGCAGCTCTTGTCCTGCGGGTTTAGGCGATTGTTTCCATTCGGGCGTGGTAATATGCCCGAAACGACCATTCCATTTCCAGCCTGAGCA